CACCCCCCCGCGTTGGAATTTCGAAAAATCCTTTCTTAGTGTGCGTTTCCATGACGTACCCTAACTGTGTACCAAATTTCACCTCTTTAGGTTAAGCGGTTTGCTCTGGGCGATGATGAATCAGTGAATGAATGAGTGAGTCAGTCAGGACAAGCAATTTTATATATTTAGATGAAATAAAAAGATATTTATGAGTTGTGAATTAGAATGTTAGAACAATAACATCATAGAAATAGAAACAGAGAATTGAAATAGAAAAGAACAATACTGTATTATAAAATACAAAACTTATAATTATTTATTTTAATAATACTTCAAACATTTACAATGTTTTTCTAAATTTATGAGCTATGTATGAAAGTGAAGTTCATTGTATATAAATATAAAACTCAATTTTCCATGAGATAATAAAGCATCAGTAAGTTCATTAGTGCATAAATTTCTGCATTTATGGAATTATTACTGTTATAGAATAAAATTCATTTAAATATTAGTTATAATCTGTAGCATAAACTGATATTCAAGTAAGACTTAATTCTGTAACAGTTCAAATAATCATCATATGTAGTGATTAAGAGTAAGCAGAAATCAAAAAATTATTTTTCACAAAAATATCTCAAAAAGGAATGTAAAAATAATTTTTATGTTAAATTGCAAAATAATTTTAAACTGAAAATAAATATAATCCAAACACATATTTTTTAAATGCTATTATATAATGGCATTTCTATATAAAATGTTTGTTTATTGTAAAAAGTTTGTAATGATTGGATGAAAGAAAAATAATTTAAAAATTTAATTAAAACTGTTACACCTATATTGCATGTTGAAAAAAAAATTATGGAAATAATACAAAATTAATTAGTTTACTCTTTAATTAAATAAAGCAGTAAATTCATTTATATCTATTAAAAATTGAGCCAATCTAGGTATATCCTTCTCATCGTGAATTCAGTTTATAACAAAACTGAACAGATTTTCATTAGAACATATATTTACAATAACATCTTTATAAAGGTATTTGCAAATATCTAATAAAATTCTGAAGAAAGTTTATTCAGGTATAATTATCCTTAGATAATTAAAAAAAGGAAATTAAATGCATATTTTATACATAAAATGTGATTTTACTGAAATCACTAAAAATCTTTTTTTCAAGAGACATATGCATTGCAATCAAATACATAGTAAGTGATCACGTCTTTCAATCCCTTTACAAATATTCAAAAGATNGGTATTTAAAATGGAGATAATTTTTTGAGAAAAATGTATTTTTTGAAAAATAATTCGAGAATTTAAATATTATTTTGGCATTTTTTTTGTTTTTATTAAGAGATTGGCTAAGAGTAAACATTAGTTTTCCTCAGATGATCATCTAAACTAATTTTAATCCAATGAAGAAGATAAGCGTATGAAACAGTATATAAAACGGGAAAAATACTATATAAAAAAACGTTAAAAACTTTATTTATAATATAAACTAAACGAATAAATCATAAAACGTAACGTAAGATTTTGGGATTGATTATATCGGAAGCAATTTGGAAAAATTCCTTTTAAAACTAAACTTGGAAAATATCAAATGAAAAACGATTTGCAAACACCAAATGGGACGGGAACAACGGGACATCTAATCCTATTTTATAAGAAATTTAAGTAAAAACTAAGTACGGGAAATAAACTTTATTTTTGTTGCCCGATTTCATACGTGAAAAGAAGAAGGTGATTCGAGTAACAAGAATAAATCGGTCGATTCTTCTTTCAACAGTTTGGTCTTATATTAGACATCTTAATTTACGTTTTTCTTTTGCTTCTACCTTATACATTTGTAAATAACATGATTTGTTATATGTGACAGCTGACGCTTTTATGGCATTCTCAAGGATTACTTACTTCTAAGTGATGATTTGGAGTACATAATATCATTCCCTTGACGTCCGCCATCGAACAATACAATCGTCCGCCATTTGCAATCGGGCTATAGGGCATGCGCCACAGAGAATTTCCTCGCTAGATGGCATTGGTATCGATTGTCTTTTTATTAATAGACATCGTATGAAGTCGAAATTTTTTTAAATTATTTACGGAAATTATTATATTTTTTTAACGACGAATAAGTTTTAAAAAAAGTTTTTTGTAAAATTCAATAATTGAGATTTTTTTTAATATTCGTAATGCATTTTATTTATTTAGAATTTATTTTTCTATTTACATTTCAAGATATTTTTTTGAATAAAAATTTCAAAAACCAAAATTACAATTTATTATAAATTATATATTGTAAGTATTTCCTGATAAAATCTGATGTTTAAGCGAATAAATGAAGTGAATATGTGAATTTTGTACTCTAAATAAATTCTACGATGTTTTAATTGTGGTTTGACTGACTTGTGAATATAAGCCACCGGTATTAACGCTATTTGGTCGATTTCAGTTTTATTCATGAAACATGGACTTCAATGCATCATGGATGTCATCTGGAAAATGACGCATGGTCGTTCTATCTGTGACGCTTAACGTTAGTCTGGGACGAATACGAACCTGGATCCTTTACGATAGCAGATTGACATCATTATCAAATGCTTTCAAAAAATCGTTTAAAAACAGCACTGAACTATAAGAAAGTTTTAAATAAACACTGTTGCATCATTAAAGCAGAATACCATTAACTTACACATAATTTAGTGAGCACGTTCAGATGGCTAAATGGTCGAATCGTCAGCCTATCGTTGTTGGAGATCTGAAATCGAATTCGGAGAAGCATATTATATATATACTGGTATAATATAAAATATCAAATTATTGATACAATAATATATATTTTAAATTTCATTCTTTCCAGTTTCTACAATATGGGTAATAAGAGGGCCTTCTTAATTGTACTCGTGAACCTTGCCGACAACGGGGAGCGGCAAGGAACGAGCCAGACAAATCCAGATAGAGCAAGCAACCTCAGGATTTTTTCGAGGAAAAGATTTGATCTCATGTTCTCCAGTAGGATAAAGCTCGGACCAGTGCCGGCCCGAGGCAAGTTTTAGGATGGAGCGAGATCCTATTACGGCGCCCCCCTTGGTTGCTCTTAATTTATACCCTTTAATTTTTTTTACCACTGAGGCGCCCCGTAAGGCTTAGCGCCTGGAGCGGCTGCTCTGTTCGCCTTATGGTAGGGCCGGCTCTGGCTCGGACCTTAATTGCCTTTGTCATCATCGGCTATCAAAACTAACTACATCGTCATATGATGGACGTTTTGAAAATCCTGCAATTTTATATACCATTCCTTACGATATATAATTTATTTAGTTATAATAAGTAAAAAATGTTTTACTACCAGTGCCAATTCCATGGAAACCTACGCTGAAGCAAAATAGACTTTTGCTGCTCATGTTTCCAGAACGATTGCCAATAGAGAGCACTTCTAGCGTTGGCACTCCTGTATGAATCACAGTATTTATAAAACAACTTTAAAGTACATTTGAGGAACTTCGTTGTATTCGGCTTATTATTTTTTCTCCTCCTGAACATTTTGGCCATCTCTTTCATTTTGTGCTTGAGTCAGTTGCCTTGTCGCATCATTTATGTAGCCGGGAACTGACATACAAATAAAATTTATTTTTAATGAGCTCTTATATCTAAAAAATAATGAGAACTATAGATGGCTAGAACTAAACAAGAACTTCCAAAAGCAAAGAGAAAGGATATCACATTATTTCAATTCAAAAATTTTTCTCTGATAGATGACCGGCACGACTCCATTGCTAATGGAAAAGTATGATGTACAGGAGCAAGACACGTATTAATTTGAGATGGCGAGCATATATTTTAAATTAAATAAATTAAAAATATGATTGAAAATTGCAGTCCGGCATTGTGATAATGTCACAGTAAATAATTAAAGTTTATTTTTTCTATTTTATTGTATTCTCATCTAAGTTTTGTTTCACATTTATTCTTATTTGTTTTGCATTTGTTGTACATTTTGTTCTTCTTTTTCACTTTAATCTTGTTGCCTTAAGTTTATTCCCATATTTCATTAAATGTCAATTATTATGGAATATCACCAAGCAATTCTTTCAGCAACAACAACAAGGAAAATTATTTGTATGCCTTGTAAAAATTTTGTATAGCTCTTTACAATTTTTTTATAATTCTGTAAATATTGTATAGCTCTTTACAATTTTTTTATAATTCTGTAAATATGACTGGCATAACGATTTAAACATTGTATAGCGAGCATGTTAAGATTTTTCATAGGCATACATTTCCATTTCAAATTTACACGTGGTTTTTAATTTAAATTTTGCAGAATAATTTTAGAAAAATTAAAAATTTAGTAATTACAACATAAAATTCATTATTAATAAAAATTTCAAATTACAATTATTCAAAATCTCAAAACACTTAATCTGATTAGGGAAAAAAAAACTAGCAAAAGAAAAACCCTTAACCAGCACCAATAATTTACAATTCAATAGCTACACACTAAGCAACAGAAGTGAAGGTTAGTTTGCTTAAAAAGCAGAAATGGGTAAAAGAACGTTGGATGCGTTCAGCAAACTCAACTGTTCCAATTGATCATAGCGGTACATAGTACTTACTAATGCCGTATTTGCTAGATGATCGTGCGTGACATTAAAACACCAATACTGTTCACTGTTGGCGTTTCGACAATCACTGTCAATACCAGAATTTATTTATGGTACTAACCGTAATGTCAAAACACTCAATAGGGTCCACCAGTGGCCAAGCGGTCTTCATTCCCTGAACACTGGGAGTTCGGTCGTGGGTTCACGCCTTGCTCGGACGTGGAGTTTTCCGGGTTTTCTCCACGTCTGTAACGCCTAAATAGGGGCCAGTTCCCTTTAAAAGACTTCCCGGAAGGCATCCCTTAGGCAGAACGCCCAAGTATTGCGTTGCCATAACTAAAACAAAACAAACTAAAACACTCAACATGTTCGAAAGTCCCGCTACTACAGAGGTTGTTCAACAGAAAAATACAATTGAATCTGTTGAACACAGCTACTGATTCTGTTATACATTAATGATTTGCATATTGTACATGCTTACAAGAAATAAGTTGTTGCTTATCTACTCTGTACCCGACATAAACTTATAAGAATAAATCCTAGGTAATTTTTTATTTATATATGACTGGAATTGCATTTCACTAATTCATGTTTTATTCATTATTTCAATCTTACCATAAGATTATGTAAACAAAGTTCTCATTGGGAAATGTTGCGATCAAACACAACTCAAAATAACTGAAACAAAATTGAAAATAAAGAATGTAAGTACTTAAATATAACTATTAATAAAAAAAATTCTCTTTCTAACTCAACATCCAATCACTGGAAATGCGGACAATAATTTTTACTCCAAAATGGTCTGTCCGGATAAATGAGGACGTACGGTAATCCGAATTAAAGTTCATACAGCAATTTTATTTATATTTTCGATTGTTAAAACAATGAATTCGTATTTATTATTTTAATTCTGTCTAAATTTAAAAACTAATTTTTACAAATAAAACTTGATTAAAATTTTTTTCCATTTTAATAATTTTTTACGTGTATTTTTGAAATGTTGCAAACGTTATGGTAATTATATCCTTTTAAAAATAACCGTCTTGAAACGATAGACTATTATTTAATAACAGAGGTTATTGTTATAGTTCAAAATTTGACCGCTAGAGATCTCGCCAGAGTTCCATTTTGTATCTATATTTTGTATATATTTGAAAAATAAAACAAATAAATAAAGGTGGAAAAAAACATGTTAGGATAGTTTTTACCCGATGATCATTACAAACAAGGCACAATTCTCATAATTCTTTTATTATTATTAAACTGACATTCACGATAGTGTAATGTTCTATCATCGTTAGCTGCAATGCACTAGTAACTGAGATGGTTCTAAGTAGATAGACTCGTTAGCGTAAACTATTGGCAGTTTTTGGCGCCCGCAGAAACGTTATGATTTAGTGTACACTCAAATCTGCTTAAGGGAAACCCAGTTAAACAACAATTACCACAACAGTTTCTCTAGTTAGAAATATACATAGTGTACTGAGCAATATTGGTTAATTAACACCAATGCCTGGTCTGCATATCTACCAGAATCAATATTTCTTTCATAAAGTTTCATTAAAATATAAGCAAATTTAGTTTCTTTTTGAATTTAAAATTTTTTTCAAAAGTTTTTAAAAAAGTTATCTAGTAATGTTAAAGTTCAACTTGCAACACCAAAATTATCAATTCAATTCAATCAATCAAATTACTGTATACATCAAAAATCTATTTCAAACATTAGATTTATTTATTTTTCCTACTTTGTTTTCCTTTCTTGCATTTCACATTCATGTCACTTGAGACACTTTTGTTAATGTATTCAAACATGTATTATATGAAAATGTTTGTGTATTTCTTTTGTAATTCATTTACTGTACAGTTGTGTTAAAGGTTTTTATTTTTAAGATTTCAATATCTAAATTAACAAGTATTCCTTTGAATAAGCACTATATATAGAACCAATATCCAGCAAGAAAATACAAAACTACATGTAGTTTTATATTTTCTTTCTGGATATTGGTTCTATGTGTAGTTCTTATTTATGTATATCCAGTTTGAGTAGTTGAAATTATGTATTCCTTTGGATGTCAAATGAAAACATAATTGAAGATTATGATGCTTTATCAAACTCTCAATTGGCTGAAAAGTATAGGATTCATAAATCAACAATTAGCAGAATTGTTAAGAACAGGACAAAATTGAATGTGCTATTTTATTTGTTGTGTCCAAACTCAGGAAAATTTCCAATCAGTAAACTATTTACTCAGATTAAAGTTGCTTGTTCACATAGTGTACAGATTTCTGAGCCAATTTTGCAAAATAAAAAAAAAAAACTTTTTTCTAAAGCTTTAAGACTAAATGACTTTAAACGTAGCATTAAATTTATCGAAAGGTTAAACAATTCTATGGTATTCCATTAATTGTATAGTATGTGGTGAGAGTTCTGCAATGGTTTTCTTCCACAAGTTCCTAAGCCCTTAAACACTAACAATGCATCAAACTGATGTTCATGTGCATTTCTTATTGTATAGTTTTGCTATGAATTTGCCAGGAGTGCAGGAATCTTTAGCTATCAGTTGTCAATCAGCTCAATCAGTTGCTGACAAGACTCCATTGAGGTTGCTTCTTTGTGCATTTCCATAAAATAAAGAATTTGTTTTTTTCTGAACTCCAGTGCATCCAAACATATTAATCTAATGTTTGTTAGTATCTAGTTCTAATGAATTTTGTGAGAATAACAAAATGCTGGCTTCTGTGCTTTTTCTACAATATGCTAAATATTGATTCTATAAATGCTTTTGTAATTTATTTGCATAATTTTTATTAAAAAATCATCCAACAAAGACACAAAGCCCCTGCCATAAGGTGATTTTTTGGTTTCAATTCAGAACTGATTATTCCTCAGCAGAAGGTGAGAGCGGCCAAAAAACATTCCAATGTTCTTGAAAGAAACTATTTTGCAACAAACTTGTCCTGTCACCAGCAATATGGAGCTGGAGAAACTGAACCCTACACAGAAAATATTGTAGCTTTTGTGATTGGAGAATAAATAAAATGACATATTTTTTGTTTCATGAAAAAAAAGCCATTTGTGGAGCAAAAAGCTGCCCAGAATTTTCATTAGAGTACTGTCTATTTTTTTTCCAATTAAACTACATTAAAATCTATCATAAAATTTATTTATTTGATGATAGATTTTATAATCTATCATCAAATAAATAAATATAATCAATTCATGTATTTAAAATTTTACTTGTGTAAATATATTTGTTAAATATAATCCCAATTATCAGATTAAGAAAGTTCTAACAATGATGATCATTATGAAATTTGTATGTCTATATATTTTAACTGAATCTAAGTTTATATAAATTTTTTTAAAATATTTGTAACACTATATATAGTATATTCAGTAAAAAAATGGAAATTAGTTATAAAATTATGATCATGATTCTAATAATTTAAGTTTTTCATCTAAAATAGGGTGACCAGATGTCCCTGGTTTTGCATTTCTAATATTTGATTATAGAATCAGTATTTTATAGTGTAATTTTATTAACACATCAATATATCACCAATATTTATAGATCAATATTAAATTAAGTAATTAATTTAAAAAAAAAAAAAACCAAAGTTCAGTCAGTTTTAGACTCCATTTTCACCGACTCTGAAATGTGTCTCCAGTTGGATTGTAAATGATGCATGCGGTCTGCCAGTCTAAAATTATTCCTAGTATAGTAGTCCTGTATTATTATATTGTGCATATCAGGAGACAAACTAAATGAATAATACATCAGATGATGCAATATAACTAACGTATCTAACTAATTTTTTTTATTATTATTTCCATGCCTACTTGCTGTTTTGTGGATTGTATTTCAAACAATGATAGTTTAAAAGCCATTAATTGGAATAAAGTAACACTCCTTTTCCAGTAGTAACTCGATGGCAACCAATTTTTTAAAAAGTTATTTGCCAAAGCACTTTTATATTTGGAAGACAAAAAATAAGTGTGATATATCTGAATGAGCAATGTAACAAGGAGTTATTGTAATAATTTCAATTATTTCTAAGATTTTCAAAATATTTTAAATCTCATTTAATTTTGTAATTTTTTTAAGTACTGAAAATATAATTTCATATGTAACAAGCAATTATTCATTGGGACATCATCACAATACTGGGCTGCAATTTTTAATTTATTTAATTTAAAATATACGCTCTCCATCTCAAATTAGTACTTTAGTGTCTTGCCCCTGAACCTGATACTTTTCCATTAGCAATGGAGTCATGCTGGTCGTCTATCTAGATCCTTTTAGGAGTAATTTTTGAATTGAAATAATGTGATTTCTGGTTTGCATCAGAAGTTCATATATAGTTAACCGGGGCCTCCTGCCCCAAAGCTTTCCATATCTGCTCTTAAATTTTATTTATCTAACACTGTTCTCGAGATTAAGAAAAGACAGACAGATGACAGTGGGAATTTTTCTACAATTTTTTCAAATTGCAGACCAATAATTGGTGCTTAAATTATAACAAACATTATTACTGTAAGTTTTAAACTTAGAAGTTAAAAGACAATTTAATTGAAATGAATGACAATACATTATTTTTTTTTACGAATATAATTTGTAATAAGAATATTTGAAGAGTTTTATAAAAACCAAAAATAGTTTTTATTTTGATTTAGAAGTCAACAGGATTAAAATAAACTTTGAAAATATTTAAGTAAAATCTGTGATATCAGTGTTTTCCAACATAGTTTAGCTATGGAACNTTATTGGTATATAATTACTTCTCTATTTCTATTTGTCATAGAGAAAAAATATTGGATACCTGGAAAGAAAAAGTTCTTTCAAATTATATCTTCACTTTTAAGCATTTGTATGTCTGAAATGACAGTGTATGTTATTAAATTACTTACACAAGAAAAAGTATTATAAACATAGATTAGTTAAAAGTAGTGTTAATTTGTTAAGTAAATTCTAAAATAATTTTCAAGTATATCATTTTAAAAATAAACCTTTCCAAGAGGACTTATTTTTAAAATGTACATAAACTCTGGCCTCTAAATCCCCAGGGGATATTACCTTGCAACAAGAGATGAATTGGTAAAAATTGAAAGAAGTACCTTAATTATCTTATTGACTATATTTATGGGTTACAACAACATTTGAAATACCAGTAACTACTATTTTTATATTTAACCTGATTACAGTTTTGTTAGTATGTTGTCATTCATGTCTGCTTTGATGATGTAGAAATAAAGATCTTGAATACTATCTTCTGGTTCAAACTCACCATCTAATGCTGAGGCAAATGGAAGATTGCCAAACATGTGTGCAGGGGAATCTATGACCTATGACATAAGATGAATGAGGAACGGAGAGGATAGTGAGTTTTATATTTTGTAGAAAGACTTCCATGCTTGGAGAAGGAGTCAACATCACAAAAACCATTCACATTTGTTTTTAAAAATTGCTGGTTTATAGGTTTTGTGGTTGTTTTTAATTCTAATTTAACCAGTTGTAAAGTAGCAGTTATTGTTGTAATTGTATTTTTAAAATTTCTCATTTTCATTAATTAGCATAGTTCAAAAACTGAAAATTTAAAAAATGATAAATTTATTTATTTATTATACAATTAAGGAAATGTCTGTGGACAGTTGATTAATTTATCCATCCCCTTTTTAACAATTATATCCATATTAAAAACTATACAAATCGTTCAAAAATAATTATGTATATATTATTTTTATTATTTTCTACATAATTAGTTATAGTTAAAACTTTATTTACTAATATCTATTGTTATTTTTACAATTAAAAAATAAAAGAAAAATTACCCGAGAAAAACATTTATTCATGTGATTTTAATTCTTTTAAAA